AAAAAAAAAAAAAAAGGAAAGCCGTGGCTTTAAATGCCACGCGTATGCTGATGATGCTTACGTTCTTTCCAGTGAGGCTTGCCCCCTTAAGCTCCAGACTGGTAGACCCCGCTACCTTCTTGAGGTTTCCATTTCCACTTGGATGGTTCGTGGGCTTGTCCGTCTCTAGGTTTTTGCCCCCCAAACACCTGCTCTCCCTCCTAGGCTCTACTTGTTTGTTATTTTCACTTTGCCCGTTTCTTTCAAATTTTATCACTTCAGTTTCAACAAGTTTCACGACTTGTTTCTTTGCAGATGTTATTTAACCGTTTTGTCCACTTCGTGAAGGTTTATTTAGTTAAAAACCAAGCGATACCTGTAAAACTACTTAGGCATGTGTAAACGGGCGTGGGGCCGAAATACAGTGAAAAGGGACGAAGGAGGGTGTCACCATGGCCCCCTTTGCTGGTGGAGCTCTTCCTCCACAAGCTACCCTCAGGATACCTTTTGTGTCTTGTGTTCGACGTGTGACCACTGCGTGGGACCCAGGAAGCAGGCCGAAGTCAGTTCATGTATTAACCACTAATAAGACCTCATTCTTTTCTCTGTGCTTCCCATAAACGTTAGCATAAATACACAGATTGCTCTCTCCACAGCTGAGGGATGGTTCTGTGGGCGCCTTGAGGTCAGCATGCCTACTTGGGGACCACTAGGTCGGAAGGTGGGGCGCTCAGAGCGGGATTGTGGTTTCGATCTGGAAGCGCGCTGGCTTCTCTGGGGAGAAATGCCTCCTCTGAGATCAAGGATCCTTGCCGTTTGTCCGTTACCTCCTACAAGCCCAAGGGTAGACGGTAGAGAACACCCCCAGAACACACGAATCCAGGGGTGTCAGTGCAGAGGCCTTCACGTCACTTGTGCCAGAGTGCAGTGTGAGGCCGGGGGCGCTGCGCTGAAGGGGAGTGGGCGTGCTGTTTCTGGAAGGAGCTGCTGTTACCTAACCCGGAAGGCTGGGGCTGGAGCTGGGGCTGCTGGCAGCCGCGAGCAGGGGAGGGTGAAGCAATGGCGGGTTTAGGAAACTACGAGGTGTTTCGAACTTCTGCGACATGGGGACTAAGGGCTGGTGGTGTGACCTGAGGCTTGAGCACTTTTTGTGACATGCTAAGAAGTCTGGAGATACAGGCACCGAGAGCTAGTGATGCGTGTGTGTGTGAGAAGGAGCACACGTGACCTCAGCTTTTTATTCTAGAATAATGATTTGGTGTTTCTTTGGCGATGGGGTGGGTTTGGCTGCAGTGAAAGCAGTCACTGTAATAAACTGCATGAGAGGGGGCAAAGGCGTGACCTCGGGTTCGGAGGCGTGGAGGGGAGGGGACTGATTTGATGAAACGTGGTACCTTCCAGGGTTGATGGAGTCAGAGACAGCTTCTGGATTTCTCACTTGAGGATGCGGTTAATCATGACACCCAAGGGTGGGTTTTACTGCGTGCTCTGTGCTAAGCTACTTGTGTCGTCTTATTTCGTCCTGACTATAGCCCTGAGACATAGGTGCTGTGATTATTCATCTTTTTTGATGAAGAAATCGAAGCTTAGAAGGTGAAGTACCCGCCCAAGTTCGCACAGCTGGTGGTGCGCAGCCTGGACTGAGTCAGGCCCGGCCTTAAAGCCTGTGCCCTAGACGGGCTGCTGGTCAGCCATTTGCACGGTTCTGTCTCCTCAAGGTCCCTACCTGCAACAGGTCAGGACAGGAATGGCGAGTGGGGCCCAGGCTGTCTGAGCCACCACCTACGCTTCTAATCAATACGCCCTAGTCACCTCTGTTACGAGTAGAGGAGGGAAACAGGTTTGTAAGAAAGATCATGGATTTGAATTTGGGTTGTCTGCTCAGTATTCTTTTTTTTTTTTTT